AACAATCAAAATGAATTTGAATTGAGTTGTTATGAAGTTGTTATGAATTTGCATTCTGTGTTGATTAATTTATTTTTAATAGAACAAAAATATCTTACTTTCAAACTTTATTTGTTTAACCATAGTGTTAAAAATATTAAAAACATTGCATTTATTTTTATTTCAATTGAGATTATTAAAAAGTGTAATATATTCTATTAGGCGATTAGATAATATAAAGGCGAAAGTTTAGAAAAACTACAGAGTGCTTAGTGAAGTTTTTTTGACGTTTACGTTCACTGTCGATCGTGAGCGCGTTAAATTTTAGTATGGAATCCGGTACAGCGCCCCTAGCAGTAACTACCAAGAACTACAAATCTCCATACAAATTCTTAACGCGATCACTAGTGAACGCGTTAGCGTAAAACTTACACTTACCACTCTGTACGGATTTTGATAAAAATTATGACTGATAGACGTACATTTTTAATACTGGGTTAACATACAAGTTACTACGAGTATTTATGCCACTGAACAGTTGCCTAGAGACCACGCGGGCAATAAAAACTTCTCAAAACGATTTCAATTTTCTTTATTATTTTAAGCTTTACTAATTAATTCAATACATAGGTACTGTAGCGTCCGTGCATATTACTATAGGTTAGTTTACTCTCCGGACGATTTATGGTCAATGCTGGCCGATAATATTCTCAATTATTACTTTTTCCGTGTTAAAATTCGCGTGTTCGTGTTTTGCTGGATCTAAACTAAAAAATCAAAATGTTTATGTAGATTATTATCAAATAAAATCAAGAGGTTAAAGAATTATACCAGGATTCTGCTACTGCTGGTCCCTTCATTAAAGTACAAAAACTAAACAATATTCTACGCAAATAATTACATAGACTCCAACGCAGCCCAATTACTTAAGAGTGCACTCAAGCAAAAATCACATATTTTGAACCGATTTTAAAAATATCTTCAAATTAGCTATTTTTAAAAACGATATAACTACATCATATTGGGTTTATGACAGCCCATACGAGAATTCACAAAATTGTCTCGATAGAATAATAATCACAAAGTTACTAAATTTGTATATGTAATAAACTAATTTCAACTTTCTTGATGTAAATATACCATTTTTAAAGGAAATTGAAAAATATGTAAAGTTACTTGTAGCCGAGGGATGCAGAAGTTTTACCACACATTAACAATAATCATAAAATTATTTATGACATGCAATTGGCCATCTTTTGTCACTATATAAACATTGCGCCCGCAGTGAGACAGATACTCTTTCGGTATAAAGCCCCCCCTTAAATTGTAATCTAATATTAAATTGGTTTTACTTTATAATTATCGCAAGGCACTATCAGCTGATAGAACGGAGATAAGCGTCATAATCGTGCGACTTGAACGTGTATACGCGACACGACGACGCGACGTCGACAGACGTGCGGGGCCGGCGCGTTCACGCAATCTCACGACATAACTTTGCCCTCTATCTAATTTCCCATCCTAATAACTTGTCACCACAAATTACGGACTCGTGGATATTAGAAATTATGCTGTAATATCTAATTACTTCCTTTACTTTTCTTGGTTCCTAGGGCTGCTTTTTTAAAGTATATATTAACATTCTTCCCACTGGTCTCCGACAATTTTGATATGAATAAAGAAAGAGGTCATCTAATAATGAAGTCTCTCTGGTTTTTAGTAAATAATAACGCCATAGAACCGCTTGGCCTTATTAATTAATACAATCGTGACTAATTAAATATTCTCAATGATATTTATCCTGGGGAGCAATTCCGTAAAAATCCGAACAAGCAGCATCCGCTCAACCTTGAGTTGGAAATAATGTTTCGCGGCATAAGTGAAGTGAATTTCGATATGACGTGGGAAAAAATATCTGAGACACGTATATTCAATCAATTTTGTTTTCTGTTTTTATACAAAAAATGGAAGCAATAGAATTTCTACACTAAGTGACGTGAATTTGGACACATGAGTGAATTCGAATTCGATCTGAATTTTTACAGAATCGCAGGGCTGCTGTAAAAACCAAAATTTTGATTTGCGTTTGTTTTATCCTTTATTATTTTATATCTATAGAAACAAGTTATCGAAATAACATTATTATACTCCTGGGGGGTTACTCTGTCTACGAACAAAATTTTCAAAAAATTTGGTTTGTTCTTACAATATTTTGAAAATCATATCCGTCAATATTAACTGTGCATCAGAAGCAGTGTCAGGGTCCTACCTCCGTTTCATTTTTAATTATCGGACGTGCGGAGCCGGCGCGTTCACACAATCTGACGACATTTTGCCCTCCATCTAATTTCCTATCCTAATTACAAATTACGTTTACATACTCATGGGTATAAGAAATTATGCTGTAATACCTAATTACTTCCAAAAGTAATTAATTAGGTATTAGAAAAATTTGTTCCTATAGAGTCGTATTAGGGTTTCGAAAATAAATGAATTTTCATTTTCGTAGAAACAGAATAGGCCTTCAGTATGCTTTAATATAATAAGTTTACTTCTATTGTTTTAGTTAATTTCACATTTGAAAACGAAGACGCATAATCCTATAGTAAATTTAGGATAATTTGAGCAATAGAATTAGTCTTATAAAAAATTTTTCACCGACTATGATACATAGTCATTTAGTATTAACTTTTTAGGCATTTGGTAATACATAAATAAATATTCGATTTGGATTTTTTGAAATAGCTGCTAAATGCATACCAACCGGATGTGCCTCATATTTATTTATTTTCTTTACGATATCCCTCGGACGCTTTACGAAACGTGAAACATTAGCTTTTCAACTCTTTGCCAGAATCCGCAACTACTCGTAAATATACAACATCATGGACGTTTTTGAGGGAATTTCAAAACAAAGGAAACTAGTAAAATAAATATCACTAAATATTTTAAACTAAACATGTTTTATTAAATATCCCGCAACTTCGCCCACGTAAATTATATTATAGCCAATTATAGCAACCACATATGATGTAGCTTCCCGTAGCTGACAGAATTTTCACGATATTATCAATGTTTCCGATTTACCTTATACAAACAATCACGTTTGTTAGAAACTAATATTATTAGTATACTACTTCGTGTGTTCATAATTTTGGAGACGAAATAAAAGTTGCGTAACTTTTTTAATAATTAACTTATATTTCAAAATTTTCAGTAACTATTAAGTAGATAATAATCAATAATAACGTATAGGTATATTTTATTCAAAATGACCGCCCTTGTTTTTAAAACAGGTCCTTAGACGATTTGGTCAGTCATCAATGGCGGAACGAACCTTTTCTAGCAGAATTCGCTTTGATTCTCGAACAAGGGTTCGCTTCAGTGACTCACTCTAAGTTTGAGTGGGACTTTCACCAGGCCCTGAGTTCTAATTCAGTTCATAAAGAATAATCCAGCAGATTGAGGTCGGGGCTGGAGGAGGGTCACTCGTCCGCCGCGGTGAAGGCCGGCACTTTGGGTGCTTTTTGTCTTATGGGATGGCGCCGAGTGTTGTTGAAAAATCCAATCCTTATTGTGAAATAACGTATCAGACAGGAATTTCACCACGGGCTCTAAAATGTCACTCTGATAATTCTTGGCTTTCACCTTGACACCTTGTTGGCAGTAATGGAGCGGTGTGACACCTTCATACGAAACTCCCCACCATACCATCACACTAACCGGATGATGAGATCGCGAGACATTCCTCAGACAGAAGCTGGGACATCCTGGCTACTTTCAGCGTACACTTTGTTGTTTTGTCGGTTGAATTTTTCTTCGACAGTAGAAATTTTCGACGAAATCGCTCTCGGATGATTTTGATGTTCGCAGGCGTCTTCAAAGAGCGTGGCCGACCACTACTTTGGCGATCTTTCAGAGAATTTGTCTCTTTGTACGCTGTGTCGTGTAATAGTTACTGCTTCAAGGAAAATTTTTCAGCTGGCGGAAAAACTGTTTCTGTTTTTTTCCCGCCTTAAATAGTGAAATAACAGTTGCACGTAATTGTTCCATGACGAGAAAATATAAATAAATGAATTTGCCATACAAATAAATTAAAGTTAACATTCCAAATTTAAAATCGGAAAAAAATTACAGCCAGTAACATTTTATTATATTTTTTCAGTAAAAAGTTAGTCTCAAAACTTATGAACACACGAGGTAAGTATAGTATACTTTTTTGTAAATACTTAAATTAAAAATTAAATTCATAGTATTATAACGATCATTGATATACACCAAAATCACAAGAATGTGAACCACATTCTAAGATTTTTTATCAATCAACTGATTAGTTCGCGAAATAAAAACTTGTTTGTGAGTACTCATTGATTAGCAGCCGCCCACGCAGGGATACCTGTATGTACTTTTTATAAGGCTTGATGACACAATATTAATCTGGTTAAAACAAGAATTGTTAAAATTAATAGATGGATACAAGAACGTTGGCCGTAATTACAAGTGAAGCTCGTGTTCCATTATCCACATTTAATGTCAGTCAACTATTTCGATGATTTATTATGTACGAAAAACAAAAAAAATAATAGTAATTTCAGATTTAAATACAAATTAAATCCTTTAATATGTCTTGAAATAGGTACGTGACTGTTAATTTTATGACAATAACTACAAAGCCGTGTGTTGAGCTTTAAGTGAAACTCCTAAAATTGTAATTTCCACACCACACCCACGCCTTTTACCTAATGCACACTTTATGCCTAATTTACTAAAGCCATGGCAATTCAATAGTACAATCATACACAGACGCTATTTCTTAAATGAAATAAAAACATAACAATCTAAAGATAGGTGATAATATCATAACAGTGCGTGAAATTCTTCTAAAGTTATATAAGTATATAACTTCTAAAGGTACAATTTATACAACACCTGGCGTATGTCATGAAGTTAACTAAATGTATTTAATACTAAATGTATATAAGCGTCAAGTTGATAAAAATCTATGTTCATGATAAACTCACCAATGGTTTTGTTGATCCAATCTGCCAGGTCCTCCTGTAAGGGATACAACTGTCTCGCCTGCGAGTACAGGATCTTCTCCCTGTAGAAGTCTTCGTCATCATCGCAGGGCGTCTGCGCTGCCAGCGCGCAATCCGCCCTTTCAAAGCTACTGCTCATCTTCCTGAGACATTCAAATTAATAATTTTATTCATAACAGGAAGTTATAGAAAATAGTAGACATATAGAGACACTTGAAGAATCTCGTGGGCGGGGCACAACAAAAATGAGCGAACATTATCATATTCACTTGACTGAGTCATCGGTCAAACATTCATCTATATATGAAATTAAATCCAAATTACTTTTGAATAAGTGACCCATAAGCACTAACAATCTGACAAGCGTTTGCTTATGTGTATGATTGTCATTTTTTTATATTCACCGTCTAAAGACTAGTCAAAACTCGGCTACCCTTGCTTTTGGGAGAAACGTATTAGGGATCCAGAAGGGCTTACGAAATAACATAGCATCATAGTCACAGTTTACACACCTGTTGACGACGACATCCTGATGACCTACGTGTCTCTCTTCCTTCTTCTCTTCGTCTTTTCCCTCAAATGTGTTGCGAACGTATTCAAAAGCTGTAGTCCTCTCGAAGGCGTTGAAGATACGGTCGTAGTTCCCGTTGAGCGGACGCTCAAAGTCCCCGGGCCCCGGTGTCGAGACGGGACCCCATGTCATGCGGCTGCCGATAGCAGTAGGCCCACAGCGGTAATACGCCATTAGTGCCAACCTGAAGCAACGCAGACAGCAAATTTGAATAAGTAACCAGATTTGTTTGTATGCAGTTTGTAATTCCGATTACTTTCCGTGAATATTTTCATAAGTATATTACAAGATCAAAAATTATATTAATAATATTAAAACTCATTTGAATAATTCATGTTTCTCTGTCCACGTATGATTTGATATGGTGAAGCTTACAAGGCGAATATATCAGAGTAACTTTACGTTTTTTAAAGAAAACATATTAAAGATAAAATAATGCGTCAATTAAAGAGATAACCCGTGCAGTTGTTCTATAGCATCAATTAATTTCAGTCACCGTAAAATTTTATTTATATGTAGTTTTTACGACAATGATATCACTGGCCGTAACTGTCCCGCCAATGGGTGTCGTTGTATGCCGATGTGTGACGGCCTTCATCGTCTCGACGTGTTGCCTCTCGGCTAACTAATTTACATGTCTATAATATGTTTCACCTATATAAGGGTTTTGTTGTTAAACGTCTTGTATTGGACTCATCAAAACTAATGATAAAAACGAAGGTTTGACGGAAGGTAATTATAAGACAAAGTCAGTTTTGTTTCACAGGCGTGTTCTAAAATGATAGGCGAGTGTCTAGTCATATAATTAACATTTGAATTTGCTATAAATATATATCAGTCACAAATAAATATGATAAATGTAGTGTAAAAAAAATATTTTTAGTTTTACCAATAAATTATTTACTAACTTTCCGTCAGCGGCTTCTCCCGTATGGTTACTAGGGAACTGTTTAGTGGGGCAAATAGTGGCTTATACCTGTGTTACTACAGGCCTAGAATTTTCCTTATACCAAATTTCATCAAAATCCATTAAGTAGTTTTTGCATGAAATAGTAACAGACATTTTACAAACATTTTCATTTATAATATATATTACATAATACAAGAGTTTTAGCTACATTTTTTAATTACATTTTACATTTGTTAAATATTTTATTTTCTAAAAAAAAGTCTCAAATTTAACTTATTATAACTATTTTTAATAAAGTGATAGTATATCACTTATATCGGTCATTTCATAATCCAAGTCATAGATAACATACAATAGGATACGACGTTTTTTATTATAAATTAAAGTGTGAATGAATTTCAAATGCTCATTTGTTCAAAATGAGTATTGCTTTTTCACAACAAAATATGAGTGACATACTAGGTTGTGAGAGTTGTGAAGTAGAATTTTTAACAATGTTGAATTATGTTCGCGTTCTCGCAAACGAGCTACTTATACTAAGCATGATACTAATTGAAAAGTGAAGATGACTAATTTGTTTGTTTGTCCATTAGGTAGATTGCTGAAAAATATTATATTTTTCTTTATTCGCCTTTTTTTTATTATTTGCGTAATCATTAAACTACGGCGATATATTGTGTTAAAAGGCGCATGACGTCACGCTTTTACAAAAATTGTGACGTAAGTTATGTGAAGTAAAAAATACGCTTGTAAAATTTTTCTATTATCTTACTGACGGACTAAATTGATATATTTTTACCCAGGCATCATCCCAATTATTGGTTTTTATTTAAATCACAAAAATATTTAAACTTTGAGAGTAATGACCGCATAAAAAGTGACCTGGAAGTGGTCATGGGAACTGAGAGAAACGTTATCTGCGCCCGCAGCACGCGTGTCCTGGGACTAGTTTATGGCAGCGCGACGCCACGACCAACGCGGTCAGATCAAGGGAGTCCCTTACATGGTGAGCACGTGACAATACCCGTTACCGCAATGTAAATGTATAGAAAAGATCTTTTTATACTAACATTCTGTTCTAATTCTATTCGAAGCAACGCAATACGTCGAACAGTATCAGTAACATATATAAATGTGTCTGAATTTTATTTACTTTCGTTAAAGAAATATAAAAACTCTTGATAGATTTCTACAACAGATATATTTTTATACCTTAAAAGCGTTAAGATTATTTGTAGGTTTCCATGGCCACCTTGTCCAGATTGCTCTAGTCGAGAATCCAATCAAAAATATATTAACTAGCTTTCCGCCCTAGGGAACTATTTAATGGTATAAAAAGTATCATATTATTTAGGTCAGTTAATACCCTATCTTTATACCAAATTTCATCAAAATCCTTTCAGTAGTTTCGGCGTGATTGACGGACAAACATCTAAACAAAGAAACTTCCACATTTATAATATTGATAGGATTCAGATTTATTAAAGTTTGCAATAAAATGCAAAGTTTCAGAAATATCCGGTTGAAATTAGAGCCAGTAAAGTGCTCCGTCTGTTAATTGATGGTAAGTTGGTCGCCTTTTTGGAACACTAATTGAACTTTATAATTGTAGTTTAATCTAGACTATAGGATTACAAAGTGCATGTGTTTATAGTCATTGGACCTTTTGGACCTTCTCTGTGTAATGTTGAGTGGTGGTCTGTGGGATCCGGTTCGTATTGTGCCGCACGAACTCGCTGAAATACCACATTAGACGCGGCTCGCGAACAATACCCGTGTGTGGCCATTATATGTAAGTATACGAGTATCTATATATAAAATACTCTCAACTTTACGTAATATATTAGGTAAGGAAGTGTCAATCACCATTTTGAACATGCGGACAAACGTATCTCTATTATAATTACAATATAAGTTGAAGTAGTAGTATCATGTAGCAACAGACGGTAGTTTGAAATAAGCCATATCAACTTTATATACCTACAGTTGGGACATTTTAAGAGTCACATTTGACATCTATCAATCTGAAATAATCATTCATATCAATCTGAAATTTAACGAATCGATATGTTTTTAAATAAATGTGAATCTAATAAAGTTATTGTATTAAAATAATATCAATTTTATTATTTACTTTTAAAGTATATAATTTTATTAGTATTTTCAATATATTACTTAGTGAGATTGATTTAATAAATTATGTATTGTGTCGACATAGTAAATAGAAGAAAGAGGGCTGATGATAATGATGATGATGATGACTGTATTGCAAAAACTTAATGAGTGACTTAATTGTTAACTGCTGCATGACTCCATCGGTTACAAAGTGATTTGCGTGTTTATCAATTTTCCACATAAAAAATAACTACAATAAGAAATTGAGTAAATCGAGAATTTTAGGGGGGTAACTTTGTTTTTTGGTTCTATTCAGAAAATTTTATAATTTCTCGTTTTGGATCTCACAGATTACAAATATGTTTTTATTTAAAAAATGTTAATAGTTTAAAACTGATTGAAAGTTAATAATAATGATTAGTGTATGCGCCTTCTAGACAATTCTAAAGTATCGATGCCATAAGTACTTGGTATCGAGTAAGTACTTGTGTTTACTCATATCGATTCATCCCTAGCGAGCTGGCAGAAAAAAAAACGTGTTAAGTGCGTTAGTACGATGGTTTTGTTAATTTTATTTTTGTTGAAATAAAACGTATGTCGAACATATGAAATTATTTAAAATTTTATTTATATTAATAAAATATTTTTATACTTTAGTCGAAATAGGAGTATCAATTACAATCATACAAAATCGCAAAGATTATTTCACAACTTAACAACAACAAATCGAAATGAAATATCTATGACATTCTATATCATTCTAATCATCATTCGTTCCAAATTGTGACTTTAAAAGCTACGCAATTCCATAAATCACTATCACGACCGCCATACGTTTGAAAATGATTGTGATGGAATTAAAAATTAGACAATTAGGCTACATCACCAGCCCTTTTACGTCCCCACTGCAGGGGCTCAGACCTTCCTGATGGATGGTTAAGGAGGATGGGCCATGACCCTCCACGCTGGCCCAATGCGGATTGGAGGGTATTAACGACTGCAAATGCAGCCGGGACCAACGGCTTAACGTGCTTTCCGAAGCACGGAGTAGCTCGAGATAATAATTTTATGGTCACCCATCCCGTGACCGACCCTTGCGAAAGTTACTTAACGATTACGATCGCGGGCCGCGGCGCTTATCCACTACGCCACCGAGCTAATTAGGCCACAGGTATTTTAAAAACATAAACTAAGTAATTGTATATGAGTTTATTCAAGATTTGGATGGTGCTAGTGGTTAAAAATCCAATCGGGTTGCATTTCTTTATTTGTCAATATTTTCGTATTTAAATATTCTTTGAGCTCAAAACATTTTGTAGAATGATTTTGATTATAATTTAAACGTTATCTATTTAAATAATATTTTAGTGTTTAAAATCCCAATGTGGTTATTTGTTCATGTTTTCATAAATAATTATCAAATCAACTTTCGCGTAGATCAAAAAATCTTCCGATTTTTTGTATAGGTATCTACTGTTTAAAAAAAGCAATGGGTCCACAGACAACATTGTAGCGGCATTTGTTTAGGATGAAATATATTTAAAAGGTTTATTGGTCAAAGTAAAACGTAAAATTGTGTTTAATTTTATATATAACAATAAATATATTTTAATAACAAAGAAATTTGCAGTCGTACCGTAGCCATAACTTCGAAAACAATTATATTGATATGTTTACTACATTACAAGGTTATTTCGAAGTTGAGACAGAGATGTTAAATGTGGCCTATTATAATGCTGTACCAATTGTACCTACAATCAAAATGGTCCAAAAAATAAAATATTTGAAAAAGCACTGACTTTTAAAATACGCGTAATTTATGTGTCAGAACCTTAAAAAAAACTAAAATCGTAATTATGTCAATAAATTTATTATTATTATTTTACATGGATGGAAATAGATAAAATCAGAATTGTCCATTATATTTTATCATATATTTATATCAATATGTTTTGTCAGTAATATAGAATGATGTGAAAATTGTTACATTTTTAATAAATAAGACTTTACGGCATAATTTTTCAAAATTCAGAAGTCTAGGATTCCAGAATTGATGACCGTATAAAATCAGGCTTTAGCTAATAACATAATTATGGACTTAATCGGTTTTATCCTATCCTTTTGGAATATCCTCAACGAGCTACACAAGAAATTGCCTCTA